TTTGGATACGGGCAATTCTATCGGGCGATTAAAATCGGCGTCGACGTGAACGGGCACACGGGCGAATTTTTCGAGCGATTTTCAAATTCGCGGCGATCGGGCGATAAAAATCGCTCGTGTGCTCCTACCTTTAGCCTAAAACAGGTTCTTATGTAAAGGGGTCTAAATGGGAAATTTTAGCCTAACATGTTCTTAAAATCTATGTTCTTATACGCGGGTTTTTACTGTATATAACATCTTATGTCATTATTGGTACACCTTTCTGCTATGTCTTTATTTGTTCGTAGTAATTATTGAATTTGCTTCTTGAGGATGCGTGAAGGCTAGCAAGTTTGAATTAAATGTGAATTAGATGTAGATTAGTAATGATTTAAATTAAAATTCGATTAAAATTCGATATGAATTACATGTGGATTAGATGTAAATTGAACGTGAATTAAGTGTGTACGATCTAACTAAAGTTTCTAACACTATTTCTTCTCATTTCTTTTGTGATGTGTTTAGTGAGTTAAGCCGTGTAATGAGCTAACTAATGAGCGTAATGAGGATTTTTCCCCGATGATATCAAACAAACTTTGTTTGCTGTTGCTTCAAAACTAAATCTGTTGTAGAATTGATGACATGCACCGTGGTTGTGACCGTCTGTAACCAATACCATGAGCATATTTATACTACACAATAATATATTGCAATACAATACAATGCAATAGAATACAATACAATACAATACAATACAATACAATACAATACAATACAATACAATACAATACATTACAATACAATACAATGATGTTAAAACATATATGAACAAACCCCGACGAATGCAATTTCTCATCACATGGCATTTTAGAGCCAAATCCGACGACGCGAGCGCAGAACCTAATGACGTCACGTGTTGCTGTGTGTTTCAGGCATAGGCTTCGGTACGACGATCGTCTGCTTTCTCGCGAACGTCTATTACATCATCATCCTCGCGTGGTCGCTCTACTACATCTTCATGTCGTTTGCGCCCGTCGTACCGTGGGCCTCATGCGGCAACGAATGGAACACACCCAGGTTAGCCCGATTCAATCTCCGATTCTCTCCTACCGTGTCGTGGACGATGACGATGACGATAAATTTTTACGGAATCCATATATCTATGCCGCACGCCATATGTAGAAGCTGCACTGCCGCTGTAGAATTACTCACTACATTAGTCCGAACGACGTATCTCTCTCTCTCCACCATCTCAATCTATCTCTCTCTATCTATCTATCTATATATCTATCTATCTATCTATCTATCTATCTATCTATCTATCTATCTATCTATCTATCTATCTATCTATCTATCTATCTATCTA